TTAAACTGCAATTCATCGACTGGCCGCTAGAGGCTGGCTCCAAAAGAGAGTCAGTCCCATAGACTCCCCATGTTAAAATGCCCAACTTTACAGCAGAAAAAAATTTGTTTACAGCCTGGCACAAAAAGTGGTTTTGATCTATATAGCTAATTTTGCCCTTTATGACAACTGTGAGGGGGGTGAATTTTTTTTATAACTTAAAGTTCTGCATAATTAAGGGCGTGGCCACTTGAGTGACAGGTGAATTGCCGCTGCTGTCACAACCATCGCACTAGAGGGCGTGGTTTCAGCAACCAGCTCCACCCACGTCCCGCCTTTTTGCCCATTTTCGATTATCCGGGAGTGACGCGCAGCCAAGATGGCGACGGCCGTCTCTGCGCACTTTGAGCTTCAAAAATGCTCTTCAGAATCCTGCGGGTTAAGTCACGGACACTACGTCCCTGTTTTTTTACAGTCTGGCGCACACATCTGAAGCACACGCACAGAAAGCGGCTTGCATGGGCGGGGCCTGTGCAAAGTGACATCACTTTGTACGGATTCTTCCAACGGCTTGTTCTGAGACACTGCTTACAATTTATGAGGATTAAAAAAAAGGAGTGGGTGGATTTTAAAAGGGTGGTTGTGTACACAAGGAGTGGGTGGATTTTAATAAGGTGGTTGTGTACACACACTGCCAACACACATTTATATTCAAACACCATGTAAAAGTGAGTTTTGCATAATAGGCCCCTTTTAATTTTATTTCATTGTGTTATATCTGTGTTGTATACAGGCCTAGTTGCTTTTCATAGGAAAAACTGGATAATCTTGCACTACGTACTATTTAGATGAATAAAATGAATGATTAAATGAATTAGTTTAATTTTGCTTTGATGTACAATAACCCTTATTTTCCTAAAGAATCATATTTGTCCCTTATTTTCCTTTTCTGAAGTTGGCAACCCTAGATGTTAAAAAACACCTGTAATTTAGTTCTTGTGGTTTATAAAAATTTGTCATAAGCATCGTTTTCATTGTAAATGTCTCATATTCCTCAGTATTTGTGTCTCTGGTCTGTCTGGTGTGTGAGCCGTGATGATAAAGGAGGAGGTTCCTGCGCTCATGTTTGAGGATGAAAACAGGAGGCTCAGTTTGTGCTCCAGCCGCTCACATACATTGTCCCATACAGACTCAGCCTTTAAGGGCTAGAAAACCATGTAAAAGTTATCGATTTTTCTTTTATGCGAAAAATCATTAGGATATTAAGTAAAGATCATGTTCCATGAAGATATTTTGTAAATTTCCTACTGTAAATATATCAAAACTTAACTTTGAAAAATTTAAAAATTAAAAAGGTAATTATGACTTTATGTTCAAAGATGTAATAAAAAATGGGAAGACAAACGTGGTATGAGTCTGAGTGAAAGATCCTGGACTATTATTTTGTGAGTATGTGGAATACTAGTCCTGTGTTCATTCAATACATTAAATAATTGCATTTTTTATGTTTTAAGACTATGTTTAAATAGTATAATGATCATAAACTGAATAAAGAGATACAGGCAGTCAGGGGCGTCATGCACTCATGATTTTTGAGGGGGCACGAGTGGGGGGGGTCTCGTCATGCTTGTCATGTGACACAGCAACCACAATAGCACTGTATAACTGATATAGGCTTATGTTTTATTTTATTTTTTTCCTTTTTATTCGAAATATTTCCAGACGTGTTAACTATATCAGGAAATATCTCGATTCTCAAACGTGTAAGTAAATGCGTTTTGCACCAGGTTGTTATTTGATCTATAATGGGTGATGGGCAAAGTAGAGTAATAGTGTAATCTATTAACTACACATAAAAACCCGACTTTTTACTTAAGTAGGCCTACCAGATATGGGTGCATGCCATAAAATATTTTAATACGACTGACTTTGTATTTAATGTGAATTTAATAACAATATTGTAAGTTACTATATTATAACATTTTCATTTTACAGAGAGCAAAGAACATTTACATCATCAAAGAACATTTTCACTTCAGTCTAGCCAGAGTTCAGGCACTCTCAAAAACTCCCATTAAAATCACTGAAGCTGTTTACACTGTGAAATGAATATCTTACATTCGTACGCACATCTGCACAGTCAGCGAGCAAGTGAACAAAACACCGCGTTCAGTGATGACTCATCTGAACGTCTCTGATTGGCCATTGCATCATAAACAAAACAGAATCGTGTGTGATTGGTTATAATGTAGCGCTGTACAAACGCGTCTGTCTCTGGATCAGCGCCAGCCAAAGCGCGAACGCAGATTTGAATTTAAGCAGCTGACGCTGTGCCGCACTGAACGATTTTATCACACCGGTGTGATTGTATCAAATACAAAAAATATTATTCAGCTATTTTTTGTCTTTTGGAAGCTGCATTTAAAATCCACTTGGCTCAGAAATCTGAGGGGGCACGTGCATAAAACTTGTGCAGTTATGCTAATTCAGAAGGAAAACTTTGTTGTCAGTGGACATAAATATTACCCCAGCAAGCCAATGTAACATCTCGATTGCATTGTTTGTAAATTTGCAACAAACAAATGTACAGAGGTCCTTTTTTTTATTTATTAGTGGCCTACAGAACATTCTCAAAACAACTTAAGAGCCGAGAGGACAGTTAAAAAGGGCTTATTCGAAAAAAACTGTTATTCCAAATAGTACCATAAAATAACCTGGTATCTGCAGGGTTTTTTAAATCAAATTTAAGACCTTTAAAGACCTTTTTAAGATCTGCACTTCACATTTCAGCCTTTAAACAATTTTTAAGAAAAGGGATGAGTCAAAAGTATCAATTATTATATTAATTTAAACATTAATTGTTTAGATTTTTATAATGCATTAGCTTTTTGTCAGTCCACTGGTTCACATTTAAAAATATGTAGCAAAAATAGCAAATGGGCTTATTGAGAAAGCAAATTCGTTCTCTGCCAGCAGGTTTCACTTTCGGAACTGCAGAAATATAGTGGTTTCCCCGGTAACCGCAGTACACAAAGCTGATGTGCAGCACTCAACTTTATTCAGTGAAATCGTAGCCTTTTGAAGTTTAATCGTCATATTAATAATCCATATAGCAATTCTTGTCTTTCCGTCCCCAAAGACCTCTTATAATTTAGACTTTTTGTACAATTTAAGAGTTTTCATGGCCTTAAATGTAAACAATTTAACTGATCTGTTATTTATCAGTTTAGATTATTTTTTAATGCTTCGCTAACTATCAGAAGACAGTAACCGGTTTTAAATTCCAGGCTCTGGCATCGCCGTTGTTTGTGAGCAGTGGTGTGATGGCGATTTAAAGGGGGGCATAACACACACAGTTTCACCCAATCTCATGTTAATCTTGAGTACCTATATAGTAGTACTGCATCCTTCATATCTCCAAAAAGTCTTTAGTTTTATCATATTTATAAAATAAAGATACAGCTTTATGATTCTCTGGAAAAAGC